GGGTGCACTGATCTACATTTGTTTATAATCTCGTAATATAGAAGTCTGCAAAAGGGTAGTTTTAAATAATGTATAAAACAGTTTGTAAAGCCATATCAGTACTCTGAAAATTTGTAAATGTGTCTTAATATTCTTTTACAGAAATAAAAATATAGTAAACAAGTTTCACTAGTACAATGAAAGTACACAAATAATAATGTAGCTATGTTAGGCTGTTATCTTAATTATCAATTTAAAAATTTAAACAGCAGGAAAAAATTGATTTTTTTTTAAAAATTCAAATTTTTTTACATATATTCTTTTCATAAAATAAGCAACCTAACACAATCTGGAATAATCATCTGTCGGTCTGGTTTCAGAATGTATACAGGTCTTCTGCTATATTTTTCTGTGCATTTAGCTTAAATGCCTGGTTAAAGCCAGTGCCAATAGGCAATGATGGGACAGTGTTCCAGTCAGTTTTTAAAGATTCACTACAGCTGCCAGTAGGCATAAATAGATACTGAATAATATTGTGATAAATATGTTGATCATAAAAATGCTCACTAAATTAATAAGAACAATACATTAAGGAGAAAACTGAGCGAGTCAGTAGCTCATTTTAACTCAGCATTCAAGCAGGTGGTCCTGGAAGTATTAAGTTGATTAGTATAGATTTTAACACTATGCTCAAAACTGACAGAAAGAAATGGTGATATCACTACTTTGCATTTGCAAACAATTGGTGGTTTTAACTGAACAACAGGCTCTATATTTTCACAAACTTATGAATTTTGGACTCACAGGTTATTCTCAAAATTCAATGCTTGGCTACATTTAAACATCTTAGATATAATATTGGTACCCATCATTGAGTTTGAACTCATGACCCTGAAATTGTTTCATGCTGTGCTGACTGAATAACTTGTGCAAAAGAATACATACGCTATAAAATGTGACATTATGGTGCTTAAACCAGAATCATTTGCTTACATTAGTCTGTAATGTGGAGCTACAAGTACTCCAGTACGAAGTAGATAAAATTCCTAATCCTAATGATACTTAATACTCATTTAAGTCTCATAACTTAGTAATCTTAAATTGCAATTCACCAAACATTAACCAGTCCCACACCAGACTAAGCTAAATATGTACTGTAAACAAGTGGTTTGTTATATTATCTGTTTAGTGTAGAAAATGTTAGGAATGGGATAAGTACTAGTTGGGCACCAAAATAATAAATCAGGATATTAACAAATTCCCCTTGATTTAGGCTTTATCTTAAGTTTTTAGGTTGACAGTGTTCTGGGACTGTTGTCCTTTTGATTGAGTAATTTGAACTCGAGACCCAAGCAAATAACTCCCCATCCTATGTGTTGGGTGAGTGGCATTCAGTGAACTTTGGTTTATGTTATAAACATACAATTACAAAAAAAAAACTAAAAAAAATTGTTGCACATTTTAAGATAAATTAAAGGTTGTAAAGAAATAATCCCGTAGGACTTCAACTATATATAACAGTGTGTGTTCTCTTGCATTTATACAGGTAGTTAAATGAAGTGTATGAAACAATGTAGTGAAAGAAAATGGCAGAAGATATTAAAGCTGCAAACTTCAAAATCTGTGGAGTGTGTGGTGACAAAGCAATGGGATATAACTTCAATGCAATTACATGTGAATCTTGTAAAGCTTTTTTTCGTAGGAATGCCTTAAAAACCAAAGTAAGTTTAAGTGTTTTTTCTCTCTTCATACTCAGAATTGTTTGGCATTAAACCTTTTTATTTAAGGAATGTTTCATTTAAAAATGGTTGAGAATTCAAGTGAAATAAATCCTCATAAGTAGTTCTTGAACTTACTTGAACATCTGTGTTAACTTTAAATGAAAAGTAAGATTGTTCTGTTACAGGGATGAATTATTGTTCTTAAGGAAACTTAAATTTGGCTTCATTTTCAAAACAAAATGCTTCACAAATCCTGTTTACTTTAGAGGTATTTTAGCTACCCACAGACTTCGATCAAATCTGCATGATTGTGTTTGCGATGGAGTAAACTTTCTCTATGCTTTGCCAATTTGATAGTCACTACTTGAATTAGGCTTCATCTTAAAATCCATGGCTGACAGTGCTCTTGGGCTGATGCCATGTTTATTGAGTAATTTGGACTGAAGTCCCAGGCAAATAACTCCCCCATTCTGTATAAAAGTGAATGATTGGAGAATCCTTTGATGCACCTACAAAGTGCTGTCATGTTATATCTGAACAAATATTCTTCAACCAACATATATTCATATACATTTGTTTATTTCATTTCAGTTTTAAACAGTCATGTTTGAATGATTGTTTTATTTCTGCATGTTTTCTTTTCAAATATCATACATTGTGATTCTTGACAAACTTTTGGTAAAATTTTGAATGAAATGGCCCCATAGCTCTGTTATAAGTATGTGAACCCCTTTTTTATTTTTTTGTACTGAGTGACTTTTTGACTTATTATGTTTAATAATCGTATACTGAAATTTATTTTCAAAAGGCAAAAATTTACTGCTATCAGCTTTTTATGACATGTAAATGGTCAGAAAAAATTTATATTGGAAGCAAAAAAAAAGTAGTAACTGAAACCATCACAGCTGGTTCTGAAGGCTAGTAATTCTTTTCATGTGCACATTAATTAATATATCCTGACTTAACTTGAATACTAGTTAATTCCAAGTTATTAAGCTTTCATATTTATCAGTTGTGATGTCTAAACCTGACCCTACGTGTGTGTTAGTTTCTGCCATCTTATCAGAACTAACTCAGCTTGCCTGTTCTACCAGATAGTATTAACTGTTTGTTGTTTTGTTTGAAGTTACCATTCATGTTGCTTTAAATTCTTTCAGAACAGATTTTCTTTTGCATCAATCGCCTCCTGTTCCAACATCTTTTTTAGGCCCAAAGATAGTATTTGGAGTATCATTAACCAAATAATGGACAACCCAGTCACAGTTTATCTTAAGGACTTGCTAATGAGCACTGTTTTTTGAGTCTTGCCAAAAACTTGATCATCAGAGTTTATAATGCTTCTTACCCTTATGTAAACAGAAGTTTTTGTAAATCATATATATATATATATATGTGTGTGTGTGTGTGTGTGTATATTAAAAGGCTGTGGAAGTTGGTGGTAATGTAACATTTGTTTTTCAAAAGAAGCTAATAAACCAGTACTTGGCTACAACAATGTTAGGTGACAACCTACATAGACAAGCTCCATAAATGCATGCTTTGAAAAACATTCCTTCTGCTACCACCTCCTTCAAGTGTTAGATATCACAGTTCCATTATATAAAAAACTGTTATAAAACCTCACCAACTCGTTGTAATTTTTTTCAGTTACTATTTATTCATTGTCAGTCAGTTGTACCAACTATTTACTTTTCAGCTTAGTCTCTTACCTTCTACTTGATGAGTTTTTCTAAAAACAAACATTTGCTTTCATACTTTTGAAAGTGTTTCATAATATTGTTGTTTTTATTTTCCAGGATTTTAAATGCCCATTTAATAATGATTGCAAAGTGGATGTAATAACCAGAAGATTTTGTCAAAGATGTCGACTGAACAAATGTTTAGAGATTGGAATGAAGAAAGAATGGATTTTGACAGATGAAGAAAAGCAGTTGAAAAATGCAAAGATTAAAGAAAACAGACAAAAACGATATGTTCCATATCAGTGTCATAAGAAAAAATGTGTTGAAAGTACAATTAAAAGAATTCACTCATATAGTCCTGTTGAAGTTCGTAACATTACTGACTTTTGTAAGCACCGTGCTCGATTCATTAAAATTAAAAAAAGAAGAAAAACTCTCTTTACACCTGAGCCATCATGTCCAGCAAGTTTATTGTTTGGTGATTCTGTAGAAAAGCAAGCAGATTCCTGCAGTGACAGTAATGAGATGATGTCTCTGACCAGTGAGCATGGGTCAGGAGTTTTTTCTGATTCAGAATTGAACCAGAATAGTATCCCTGTTACTTTAGTCTCTGATGAAAGTGGTATCATTTTCAACAGTGATAAAGAAAAACAAACAAAACATTCCTTGGGCTCAGACTTGTCACCTAGTTTAGTGAAGACTAACTCAAAAAAGCAGTCAACACTTTCAGCTTTAATTAACTCTAATCCACCCTCATCAGTTCCTAAGCTCCCAACTTCTTTGTTGGAAAATGGAGTAGATGAATCACATGTGAGTAGCTCCACTGTACATACTGACATACAGTCTAGCAGAGCTTCTAGGTTGAATGGTTCTTTTGACCCATTCATTCCTGATTCACTTGATTATTACAAAATTTCATCAGATTTGAATCCATCACATTTCAGCAATCAAAGTAAAAAGGATGACAGCATCATTCCACGGTCAGTCATTGACTTAGCTGTTAAAGTTGAGTTTGATGATATCCCACTTCAAAGTCAAGATTACTGTGAGGAAAAATTGACTGAAGCAGAAAAAGCAAAACTGACTGAGCTTATTATAGCAAATGAAGTTCTTAAAATGCCATTATCTTATGGAAATCCAGATCCAAGCCTTTTAGATGTTATAAACATGACTGATCATGCAATTCGTCGGCTCATCAAGATGTCAAAACGCATCTATAGTTTCAAAACTTTATGTCAGGAAGACCAGATTTCCCTGTTAAAGGGAGGTTGTACAGAACTCATGCTACTGCGATCTGTGATGACTTATGATCCAGAGAAAGACTGTTGGCAAGGTCCACAAACAGTGTCAATCAAGGTGGATATTTTAAAGGAAGCAAGAGGAAACATTTATGAAGAACATAAGAGATTTATCAATTCTTTTGATCCTTTGTGGCGATCCAATGAGAATATTATGTTGATTCTAAGTGCTATCACTCTATTCACTCCTGAACGACCAAATATTGTTCACAAGAATGTGATACGCTTTGAACAAGAGAGTTATTATTACCTTCTACAGAGATATCTACATACAATCTATTCAGAATGGGAAGCTCGTTCTTCCTACCTCATGCTGATTTCAAAACTTGAAGAACTTCACCTTTTAAATGAAAATCACGTTAGAATATTTTTGGATGTAAATCCAAAAGATGTTGAACCACTGTTAATTGAAATATTTGATTTAAAACACTAGCATTTCTTTCACTTTAGTGTATGAACTAATTTTTTTAAATCTTTGAATGTTAGTGATTAAAATTTAATTTGTTGTCCATGACAAATATTCTTAAAAAAATAAATTCTTAGAAATTCTGGAATATTTCTGGTGTACGTGTATAATATATTCTTTTTAGCAATAAATTTAATTAAGAAATAATTATCTACATTTTATATTTTCATTGACACCAGTGATTTATAATCAGTTTTTAAACTTGGATATTTGTGATGTACAAGATCGAGATATTTATATTTTATAATTTGGCACTTAGTAATTTTTAGACTGTAATATCATAAAGTTGCTTTCAGAATATACAGTGTATGTCATTCATCTTTGTATTATTAGTGTGCAGGGTTAATTTGGATAAAATTCAGGAAGGCAGGCACCGGATTTTAACTTGCATTTGTTGAAATGTCTGAGTTTCTTAGTACTTTTATCCCATATATAAGACTTTATCATCAATGTCAAAATATAAGAAAATATTGTTGGGGAAAATAGTAATGGACAGAAAACTCAGGTCGTGTAATTATGTAGAATGGAGTCACTTTTTTTTGCATTTTTGAATCAATAATTTATCTTTTAGAAATTATAAAAACTGCAAAATTTGGCTGAATATTTTTATAAGAATTATTTAAACATTTATGAAAAATATCTTTGTTTAAATCAAGATGAGTCCTTTGTCCATATTTTTAGCATGATGTGTAAATGAAACATATCTCCAAACCATACTCCAAATTGTTAAATACTTTTGGTTTGAGTAAAAACATCTGTAGGGAACATGTAAGTCTGTCTTTTCTCATGTGGTGTAGTTTTAAGTTATGTGAGTGAAAGTTGCATACACATTATATTATTTAAAGAGTTGAAAATATTGTAGATATATTGTTATTTTAGTCTGTAAATTATCTGATGTCAAAGCCAAAGAGAGAAATATTTAGTTGCTGAATTCTAATATTGTAGTTTGCTGCTTTAACAATTATAGCTGTAGTATTGAAACTTGTTTTTTGTTGAAATTGCAAAAAAACTGTCATAGTTTATGACAATGTAATAAAGCTCTGTCAAATTTGTTAGAAAGTTAAAAAAAAAGGTGTGGAAGGTAAAAATTGAGGGACAAAAAGTTTAATAAGTTTTGTAATTAAAATTATATAAGCCCTAACAAAATTACAATCCAACTTTCAAATCTTATTACTTTTCCTTTGCCTTCACCCACAACGAGTCAGTCATTACTGCTAAGTCCAGACTGCCTGGATTAAACTGATTTCAAATGTAATAAAATATACACCTTTACCATATTATTTCAGTTACTATGTTTTATTTGACACTTGGAACACCATAGGATAGATTTATTAGTCATGAATTTGATATTCTTAACCATACACTTGCTATGAGAGTGAAGTTAATTCATATTAGCATGATGCTTCTACGAATCATGTATGTAGTCTGCCATAACTTTATGTTCAGGCATGACAGTTTTTTATTTAACTTAGATATCTTTGAAGCCTATTATAACAAGATTATTAAAAATTGTTGACTTTAAGGGAAACGGGGATCTTCAACAAATTACAGAAACAAGATAAGTAGCTTAAAATAAAAATGCAGTTGCAAAAAAAAATTACACAAGTTTATGGCTTGAGACATAGTATTGACATTATTTCCTCAAGTTGCGAATCCCTATTTTGACTCCATGTCTAAAAGCTGTGATATTTAGGAGAGTCAAATTAAGGATTTGTAGCTTTGGGAAATAATGTCAACAATATATATATATATATGTACATGCAGGCTTTGTAGTTGTTTTTTTTAAGTTGTACAGCCATATCTATTCAATGTAAATATAAGAGAATGTGTCATAATATAATAGGTTATGTATACAAATAAGTATTTTGAATCTTTCTTATAGTTGTTATATTTCCCCCTTCCTCTTCCTCCTCTCTTCTGGCCATAATATAGTCAGTCAGGGTTTTGCTGCAGCTGACCATATTTCCTTTGAGTGATATTCTGCACACACTACAAGGGAAAGAAAGATAGTGATATAATCAATTCAGATTTGTTAATTAACATGTTTGGGTCATGACACTTCTTCGACTTTAAGATCTGGTGGGCTGTTACTGCCACACAATTTATCTGAAACTAAATATTTTCTAAATAAAATATATAGATACAAAATTTCTTCCTCAATTTTGCCTAGAAGTGCCATCTCCTGCTTCCACGATTCTTGCCACTTCTTATAGTCAGCTTCAAGGATGGCTACTCTATCTGCAGTATCTATAAAATTTTCAAACATGCAGTGTTGGCTATAATTCAACACTTGTTATCAGCCGTCACCGTGATTGCCAATCTGATGCTCGAAACTGAGCTTGGTGCAATCTTTTAAACTACGGCTTAAAGTTTCTGTTGTAGGAGACAGCTTAGATGTTTGTGTAATGTTTTAAACATTTGTGTAACATGGTCAAAATCGATCATGCAATGATAAAAAAAAAACAACATAAAACTGTGATCCTGTCAGCAGCATCATGTCTGAAAGGGCAAGAACCCTATACATAAACAAATGATACACAACATCAATACAATTGCAACAGTGAGTCAATAACTGCTATGGTACATGTGTAATGTCTGCCATATATACATTAAATTACATCCACAGCCTGCACGCAGCTATATACATATGCATAATGTAGTAGATTATGAGGCTTCATATAAACCACAGACTGTGTTAAAATTACTGGATAGTCAAATACACTTAAAAGGTACCCTGCACAATGATTGCATTTAGTAATATTGCCTAGGTTTTATTACAATACTCACAGCCATTTCTGCTGTAGGCTGATGGAACAATGTTATATTATAATAATAAAAAAAAACCAATGGGTGATCCTTATTATGAACTGTTACTGTACTTAAATCTAGTTTATTTGATAATGGTTAAAATGAGATTATATATATTTATGGATGTTTTATAGTAATAGTTAAACCTGCAGAACAAACTAAAGATTTTTGAACCATGGATAAAAAGATTACAACCAAGCAATTTTTTTTTAATTTTTAGCAAAGTGTTTTTTTCTCAGATTTGTTTCTTTTCAAAAACAAACTTCAATGGTTGTTAGTTACATATTTTCAGTTTAAACACTGACTTGATAATGAGCTTTGAGTTAATGTTTCTGTTTAAAACTTGTCTATATCTAGGGGTTGTGGATCTATGGCAATAATATTAAGGGGTGGTACACAAGGCTGTAACTGCTTGCAGTAGTGTCTTATCAATTTTAGAAAAAAAAAGTATACTCTCATAATACTGCAGGTGAGATGGTGTTACTGAATCTGCAGCATATTGTATATACAAAAGTCTCACTAATTCCTGGATAGCCTGCCTGGTAATCAAAATCCATAAAACTTGTGGTGAGTGCAGCTGTGACACTTAAAAGCAATGATGTTTGTAACTTTTGATTTTTAAGAATTTATGTTTAAAAACTGACAAGACTATAATATAAGTCAAATCTCCCCCCAAGACACTTAAATTTTGCTACTTGGTACCATAGATGCTTGTAACTTATGATATTGTTACGTCTCTGTTCATTAGTTAATTTTCCGTAAATTCTTTCCGACTAAACTTTTCATCTACATACCATTTATAGAAGACAGATCTGAAGTTGGGACAGATGCTTAAGCATCTACATTCAGATTGGTAAAGAAAATTATTATCTGTAGTCAGGCCAAGTGGTGACTCCATAGCAACATGTCAATCTGGTCAAAGAGTTTTTTGTAAAAGAGAAAGTGCATTTGTGTGACGAAAAGTTAAGATGATGTTTAACCGTTAACCTGTGTAGTATTTTCTTGAAGAAAAAAAAAAACGGTCATGAGACAGGTGTCAGTAGTTTTCAAAATAGGAATTTTAATGAAAAGAGAAGTAATGTCAAAGTAGTTAGGAAGAGAAAGTTGAGAGTTAATTTATTGAGCAAAGTCAAAGGAACTGTTATCAGTAAGTTCATTAATGGTAAGTGTTATGAGGATGAGAATAATTTTTTTTTTGTCAGACTAGGAATGGGAGTTGAGAATAAAAAATAGGTTAAGGAGGAGTTACTTGAAACACTTTTGATAGGTCATATAGAATACCAGGTCTAGAACCATGGGGTTAAAGTTAATATAAATAGACTCTGAAATTTAGTTGTTTTTTTAAGCTTCTGAGTGTGTGTTGAATAAGTTTTTCATGTTGAATAGTGAGTGTGAGACAGTTCATGTTAGCAGGTTTAAACCTTATCTGATCACTGGGAATGGTGATCATTTTATTGGTATAGTTATCTTTATTCAAAATAATACCATTGGCCTTGTCTGGACAGGTGATAATGATATTAGGTTGTTGGGACAAGTCTTTTAGAGCAGCAATTTCTTCATTAGAGGGAAGAAATAGATTTACAAATATTGAAGTTATAAAAAAAGGACAGGGCAAAATTTCTTAAATATAGTTTTAAATTTAATTTTGTGTTGTTCTTCAGGTTTGTGAAAAATAAGAAATGATTTCAGATACTTGTATGTAGTTTCAAAAAGGTACAAATAGTCAACATACTTCAATTTTGAGAGTGATAATGTAAAGTTGAGCCCTTTTGCTGGAGCAATTTTGCAGTGTCATTGGATGGAGTTAAAACTAAAAATTAAATGATTGGGGTCAAAGCCTCTGAGGCAGTATGACTTACAGAGTTTAAGGAGTTTAGTGCTCTAGTTATTTTCATGTCTCAGTTAAACAGTGCAGTTAGCTCTTTCCTATTAAATCGGTTCTAATTATTATTTTATGATTTGATATTGCAACATTGTTTATTCTTTCTTTTTTATATTACCATTAATGTTTCTCAGTTACTGTTTTTATTTCGGTGTATGCTGATGCTGGAACTTTTAGATTCCGAAACATCCACTGTGTGAATAAGCCTGTTGACAAAATAGTTTTCTATATCTTTGGTCTTGATCTACTGCTATTACCAGTGAATAGTAGGATCGACCATAACATTATAAATACCCCACAGCAGAAAGTGCGAGCATTTTCGTTACCGAGCTTCAATCTTGCAGCTCGCAGATTGCAAATCGAGTGCCCTAACAGTTTCCTTTAGTGCTAAATTGCAATTTTACTTAATATTCACATAAAGATAAATATCAAGTTATTTCTGTTTCTCTACATCTATATTATAGTTAATGTCGTATATTGCTGCATGTCCTACTTCAAGAGCTCACACAAAAAATTAAAAAAAATAAATTTTTTTTCATTCATAAACAGTTCTCACAAACTGTTGTTATGCAATGTTCCCTGCCCACCCCCAATGGTTCAGTGGTAAGTTTGAAGGTTTATAAAGCTAAAATTTGAGGTTCAATTCCTGCAGTGGTCACAACACGGGTAGTCCATTGTACAGCTTTGCACTTTAAAAAAGAAAATATTATTCCCTCTGTTATTTTGAAGCCTGATGATTAGGTCCCTGGACTAACAATCTGGGGTTTGTGGGTTCGAATCCTGTCCCCAAACAAGCCCTTTCATCAGTGGGGTCGCTATAATATGACGGTCAATTCCACTATTAACTGAAAAAGACTAGCACAAAAATTGGCAGTGAGTGGAGTTGATTAGCTGCCTTCCTTCTAGTCTATGACTGCTAAATCAGAGATGTTTATCGTAGGTAGCCCACGAGTAGTTTTGCCCGAAATTCCAAACAAATAAACTTCTTTGGACAAATAGTTCTTGCACTTGTATATCAGCCATTAAATTTGCGTCTGTGATAACGTTATTAAACTGACTTTATATATATCATTTGTGAATGAAAATTTGGTACTTTCAAAGTGAACGGTACCTTCTGCGATCCATTTGATAAATGACCAGGTCAGAGACCCTAAAATTAGGGCAGAATTATCTTCGAATCGAACATTGGACCTACTGATCCGTCCAATGGCTGGTAAAATGATTTGTTTGTCACGGGAAAGAAATAATAATAAAACGATAGAGGCTCAATAAGAACAGTATTTTATAAATGACTTTATACGCCATATAAATTAAATATGAAAAAGAATTCAACTTAAAGAAGAAGTTGAGAAACTAAAATCTTCTTTTTATCTTACACGAACAATCAACAAGTCGCCGTCACTGAATATTGCAGATGTAGTGTGGTTGACATATTATAACGTACTCTTCTTTGCTTAGAAATATGTAAACTGTATTATTTAAAAATATATTTTTTAAACTATTTAAGTTTTTCAGAGTTCACGAATTTATTTTTTACAGGGCCCGTAATAGCCTATGAGTCATGCAAAAACTGTAAACAAGAATTATAATCAATCGATAAGATGCATTATATGGACCTCACCGTAATGAACTGTATAAAAATCGGTTATACGAGAACTAATAGATGTTTTTAGGGAAAGGTTTTACCTGATGTGCAGTTGATTCTAAACTGAGACTACTACCACCACGGAGAATCCAGGATTTTTTTTATTTTTTTTTTTGCTAATTCTACTACTGTGAACCACATACATCACACATGTATTTCTAAAAAAAAAGACCTGGTGGTTAAGGACATTCGATTTAAAATCTGTGGTCTGGAGTAAACCTCCCTCCCTCTTTCTATTAAAGAGGGGGGTTTTCATGTGTTTCTGACTTCGGTGTAGGTGGACTCGGTGTATTATCAACAGGTGAATGTAGAAGGGTTGTTTGATCTTTTTCTTGTTTATTGGCGTAAATAGTCCTTGTTTAGCTTTGCGCGAGATTCCAAACAAGCCAAATTTATTGTGGTTCATATCCCCTTATTTTAGTATTCCAATTTATAATATAGTTTTCTTGTCTGTCACAGAGATGATTGTATAAGCTATTAACCATGACGACAATTGATTACCGTGGGCCACAACTTTACAGTACGTAATTTAAATCTTAAAAGCTGTAAATATCAGTAAAATGCAACACTTTCCTTATGAATAATTTATAGAAAGAACTTGTCAAAATTAAATTATTATTTATTCTCTTACGGATAAACAAGTAAATATGTTTAAAAACATATTTAAGAAAACTACGTTTCGTCAGGTATACCTAGCAATAACATCATCATGTGGAAGCTTTTAAATCACGACAGTTCAAACTTATGTGCATCAATATCAAAATGATATTACGTCATAAAACAACAATAGCTAATTAAGGAAACAAAAAATATGTAAAATAAATATAAACGCATATTTGTATATTTATTAATTAAGCTCTTGTCATTTGACAAAAGGAGCTTTTATAATTTTTCTACAATTTATATTGTTTTCTTTGTCAGGTATTTCAACATTTGAAAAATTTCTTGACAGAAGCTGGCCTAATTTTTTTTCTGATAAGAAAGAAATTTTTACTTTGAAATCTATAACACTCTAGCAGTTTAAGAACACATTTTCTTGGAAGAGTAAGAAGGTTTAGAGACATACATCAACGCATAATAGAGGGTCGGGTTTTCTAAATTCCTAATGCTTGTCGCTTCGACGTGTAA